AGAGAGAGAGAGAGAGAGAGAGAGAGAGAGAGAGAGAGATGGTAGTGAGCTTCAATACATGCCCCCACCCCACTGTTGATTGGTTTCAAGCCTAGTGCTGTTGGATGAGCACGGCTGACCCGGTTGACAGGAATGAAGAGATGGTAAAGTCGTTTACTTGGTTGCCCTCGTAGGCGAGCAACAGGAGAGAGTGGGCGCCACGTGCGCCACAAAGCATCAAGCAACAGTCGCAAGAAATTCACCGACGAAAAGACGCATAGTCTAGACTTTCCGCTACTCGGAACAATTCCAACCACCAAAGACACGTCGGGAGATAGATACCCCAAAGATCCACACCTGTGGAACGGTCACTTGCACACTTTCTCGCTCTCTAACCATACATGACTACTACCGAAGTAGCGTTCGTAAGGATGACATAATCCACCTCACGGACACCCTCCCTGATTCTGTACATCGTCACGAATGCTCGCAAAACCAAAGTATTTAGGTTAGTCTACTCATTGGAAAGCAAAATAAACGAAGGGAAACCCGGCCACCGGATCAAAACCCTCCGCCTCCAAGGTCATCCTGCTGAATGACTTGTTAACACAAAATCAACACTGCAGTCACCAAATTGCAAACCTCTGCGTTTACAAAAAACATCAGACATTTGCCACTCCTCTTGAAGTTGCCCCCTCCCAGCAACGAGACCCCTCCTGTATCAAGTTACTGTTAGCACCGGGGCGCGCCTACAGCCCCAAGCACCAATAACCAAGTAGCAGCGGAAAAACGAAATATATGACGCTAGATCGCTCATCACAGCGGAAAACGAAAAAATATCTGACGCTACATCGCTCCCAACTCACCTCTATTAAAGGGCAGTCTACCAAATCGCAGGGAGAGGTGCCCCCTGTACATCAGAGGTAGACCAAGCAGCACTCAACCGCAAACAGTTCTTCAGCAAACTTGCTGGTACATCGCTACGGGAGACACTGGTTACAGACATCTTCACTACTCCTTTTCAAGCAGTCCCCTCCCAGCAACAGGATCCCTACTGTATCAAGTTGCCGTCAGCACCGGGGCTCGTCTACGACCCCGAGCAACGTTGTCGATCCAAAACAGAAAAGCGACAACCAACGCTGCATTGTTCTCAGCGTAAGGACATATATGAGGGCAAACAATCACATCGCAGGGAAGGGTGCCCCCCTCGACCTGTGCATCAATGAAAGATCAAGCAGTATCTCGACCAAAAACAGCTCATCATCAACCCACTTGATGGTACTGCTACAATGGGAGACGCTGGTCGCCATTCATCACGAAAAAGGGGGGGCAGCTTTCTACGTCAACCCTCCCTGACTTCAGAGCAAATGTATCAGCCTCAAACTGTATGGGCTGGAAAATAATTCCGACATCATCAATCAAATCAGTGTGACCGCGGCGCCCCGGGTCATCCATACCAAAATGAGACAACAACAGAATGCCACACCACCATCAATATTCATCATGCAGGGACGCCTCATGCATCTACCTGAACGACGAGCTACTGAGGTGAGCATGGGGGACCAGACAAGCAACGTCGAGTTTCGTAGGCTGCCTGCATAACAGCTATGATACAACCACAAGGGGGCAGCAAGCAAATCAGGAAAAAAAAGACGCACACACACCCGGAGAACAACATGGCGTCCAACAGTTCCTAACAACAGTTGCATCGTCGGGCATTGGAAGGCAGCTTACCAGAAAAAATAACCGACCGCACACACGGGGGTAAATGGCAAGTGAGCGCCAAGGACCCGGAGGTGTGGTACAACAAGGTCGAGGACAGGGCGGCATGGCTCATGAGGAAATGGCATAGGCAGGAGGCGGAAGCGTCCGCGAAGCGCCAGCGCGCGAGGGAAGCAGAAGCAGAGAGTGCGGCCATCTCAGGACCGAAGAGAAAGAGAGCCGGGGAAGCGGCGGTGGGGGGGGAAGAAACGGCGACCGGGCACTGCTGTAGAAGTGAGTAGAGCGGCCGAGGCAGCACTCATGGCGAACTATGTACCCGGCTGATGTTGTTGCGCCCTGTTTCCCTCCCTGCTGTATGCTATACTGCTTTATGCATGTCCTTTGTATTGCCTTCGGCCTCTGTGCCGTGTTTCATTTTTCATGACCTCCCTGCCTACTCTGCTATGTTGGGTACCTTGATCTCGCTTTGCTGTTGCCTTTGATTTGGACGTCTGGCTGTCCGCCCATCTGCCGCCTCCTTGTCCTGTTTGCTCCGTTACTCCCATGCCCTGGTGCGTAGTGCCTGGTGCTGGTACGTACGTTACCCCTTGATTTTTTCTTAAGGCAGGTGTGGGAAGCGTCCTCCTTTATTTTTGTTGTTGTTATATTTTGATCGGTTCCGAGGGCTATTTTCTCGAACGGTCGGTGCGATACCTGTTATTGTCTTTCCATCATTTTGTTTTCTTTTTCCGAGTGGTTTGTACTCTACTTTTGTTTTGTTTCCCCGCGGCGTCGTATGTGCCGGGTTTCGAGACCACGGGCTCCCCATTTTTTGCGGACAACAGAGCTAATGTGAGAAACAACAACAACAACCCAGGGGAAGGGCAGTTTTGAGAGACAGAAAAGCAACACGCCGAAATATTCAAAGCGCTTCGTACGCGACGTCCAGCTCTTCTACTTCCATCGCGGCCACAGCAACCTCACTCGCCACTTTCGATGCGCATTTTTTCACATGGTGCCCACTTTCTCCGCACCTCTGGCAGACCGGTTGAGGGCACTCGTGGGCATAGTGGTTTGCGGTGCAGATGTGGCAGCGGACGGACTTTTTTTCGGCGGCACCATCACTCGCTACGCATGCCTGTTCGTCCCCTCCGTTTTTCTTCCTCGACCGTCGTTTCCTCCTAGACCCCTCCCCGACTGCTACGAACGCATATTGCACTCGCCCGTCAATCTTCCCCTTTGACCCATTGTCCTTCATCAAGTACCCAGCCCTGGTCCTTGGCACTCTCAACATCTCCTCCTCTTCCAGAATCTTGTCGCTGAGAAGTTGTTGCTTTTGTGCGTCGTACTCGGAGGAAAGAGCGTCAAGGAATCGGGCGTACACGAGCATCTTGGGGGCTGGCCGAGTGCTAACTCTAGGCTAGTTACGGTAGACTTGAATTGTTGGAAGGAAACTCGAGGATCCTGGTTTCGCTCTTGTCGGGCAGTAGTCTATAGAACTCTCCGATAATAAGCGAAATCTGCTCGCCACCAGTTAATGGGGTGAAGGTCTGCTCAAGTGCACGCCAGGCTGCGGAGGGCCCCTTACTGTTGTAAATNACGAGGATCCTGGTTTCTCTCTTGTCGGGCAGTATAAAACTTTCCGATAAGCGAAATCTGCTCGCCACCAGTTAATGGGGTCACCGTCTGCTCAAGTGCACGCCACGCTGCCGAGGGCCCCTTACTATTGTAAACCATCAGCTTGGTAGTCTCGTCTGAAATCGCTCCTACCAACATGCCCCACAATTCCCGGTACACATGAACCTCTTCTGCAGCTACCTCCTGTTCTTTCATGCCATCGTCATCCATCCCTTGGATCTCAATGTCTCGGCTATCGTTCAGAGCATGCATCATTCTGCACGTTTGCACCTGCGCCATGAAGTCGTTCTTGAACATTAGCCAGTTCATTCCTTGGCCATCGAAGATTAGCTGCTTGAGGCGTGGGATCCGGGCCTTCANGGGATACGGGCCTTCATGGTCGGGTCGTACCTTGCCGGCGGGTCACTGGTTTCGGTTTCGCTTTCGCGCGAGACGCCCCCCGCAGACGGCAGCGTGGGTCCTTGCGGGGCTGTGTCCGGCAGTCCTCGTTCTCCCTCGAGCCCCTGTCCGGTGATCGGCGCTTGATCCACACGACTNCATCCCTTGGATCTCAATGTCTCGGCTATCGTTCAGAGCATGCATCATTCTGCACGTTTGCACCTGCGCCATGAAGTCGTTCTTGAACATTAGCCAGTTCATTCCTTGGCCATCGAAGATTAGCTGCTTGAGGCGTGGGATCCGGGCCTTCATGGTTGGGTCGTGCCGTGCCGGCGGGTCACTGGTTGCACTTTCGCGCGACACGTCCCCCGCAGACGGCAGCGTGGGTCCTTGCGGGGATGTGTCCGGCAGTCTTCGTTCTCCCTCGAGCCCCTGTCCGGTGATCGGCGCTTGATCCACACGACTAGCGCCGGGAGGGGCGTGCCTTCCCCCCCGTGACTCTCCCCCGCCGCCCGCTCCGGTCGTACTTCCAGCGGGCGGTGTCTCGGGCACTATCCGAGGCAGGGCTTCCATGACGGTCCCTAACTTTTCCGTCATCATGCTCTCCATTTTTGCGGTGGCCTGGTCAATGGCGGTCTTGACCTCCTCGTGAGTCGGGGCTGCATCGCCATTGCCGAACTCTCCAGACGCAGACGGCATGTGTCCACTTCACTTGGATAGTATTCGCTCTATTAATAGAGTGTTAATTGGTTTCAAGCCTAGTGCTGCTGGATAATCACGGCTGACCCGGTTGACAGGAATGAAGAGATGGCAAAGACGTTTATTTGGTTGCCCTCGTGGGCGAGCAACAGGAGAGAGTGGGCGCCACGTGCGCCACAAAGCATCAAGCAACAGTCGCAAGAAATTCACCGACGTAAAGACGCATAGACTTTCCGCTACTCGGAAAAATTCCAACTATTATACTTCTATATAATACCAAAGACACGTCGAGAGATACCCCGAAGTTCCACACCTGTGGAACGGTCACTTGCACACTTTCTCGCTCTCTAACCATACATGACTACTACCCGGTGTAACTTTATCTTTCAAAAGATATACGCTCAGCTCGGCTGACTAGTCTAATGGTGTAACTTTATCTTACAACCGGAGCAGCGTTCGAAAGGATGACATAATCCACCTCACGGACACCCACCGCCCGTGAAAGCAGACGGGGAAACTTGTTTATGTAGCGAACACTTTTTCGCAAACACTGCTGTAGCTAAAAAGAGTTGTATGTGTACTGCTGTAGGGTGTGGAATAAAGTAGGACTATTGCGGCAGTTTAGAAGGTCGTACATGATTGGTTTAAGAGGAATTACTGTCGGTTCACGTGTGACGTGTATGAAGAGGAATGCGGCATGACTTCGACGATGAACATGTGGCTTGCCTCGTCGAGGGCAGTCCTGAATGATGAAGAGCTGTGTGATGTGTCAACCAACGGTCTTGCATCTCGAGGTTACGAAACTAACACGAGGGCTCCTCAGAGCACAAACGAACTCCCTCGATTGGACGAGGGTTCCACAAGGGACACCATACAATCTCTCACGGATATTCTACCGGCTGGATAGAATGCAATCACTCCTCGCGTTCTAGACATGGTAGTTATGCAGGTGTTGTTTCCTTCCGATGTCTGCTCCGTGCCATCGAACATCCATATAGGCCCAACTGACGCGGACGCCTTCCGCTCGGTGACAGGCTAACATACCTAAGCGAAGTGAGGGCGGTTATGAACGCGAGCAATCCCTAAAGTACCAATACTTCGTGATACAAAGACTCCAGGAAGCAGGCGTCATGTCGAAAAAAGGGCGCAGAAAATCCAACAGCAGGAACTGAAACAACTCAATACATTGACGTAGCCATAAATATGAAGTCGGTATGCCGTTGGAAAGACGCAACCCGCTCTACGCGCCCTGGCCGTCAACGCGAAGTACGCATGCATGCACATGGCACACCGCTAAAAATGGGCCATCATCATACCTGCGTTCGTTCCATGGCTGATCTCTGAAAATAAGTCTCTGTCGGATCGTAAGTTGTGAGGGGGTGTGGGGGAAGTTGAACGAGTGCACACTGTTTCAGATGTGTAGAGCGCATGAACTCTTCTTGTCACACACGGAAGTAAGTCGAAGCGTGACATGTTTTTTCGGAACCAAGTAGACCAGGCGTTTCACGCTGCTGGCGAGTCACCACCCTGCCCGATGTACAAGATGAAATTGCGGAGCCCCTGTGAGCACCTAAATATAGAACAGCAGTGCTAAGAACAGCAGTGTCTCAGCCTACGGAGAGTCGTTTACGATGCCGGAGTCTGATAAACACGCAACTGTCGAAGATGACGGCAACCAATATATGTGAGTTCCAAAATGGGCGTGGTTCCTGGGTTTGAAGTTTCAATTGGGCCGTATCGATGGTTCCGCCGCATCTGCTTGTGAGGCACGTCGTGTTAGAGTGTAGAGTGTAGAGTCGTGTGGAGCACCCCTCGCGTGGGTTGTCCAGGAGAAGAAGGTGTGGTAGTGTGTGCGGGGAGGTCCAAGCTTACGTGTTGGGCGAGGGCATCATTTGGCTGTGCGACTAGGCGCACCAGCAGCACACACGCATCGTACGTCACGCGTCAAATGTCTTGAAAATATACCGAAATTCGTGAGCGAGATGCGCGTTACAGGAGTTTGTACAGGAGTTGATTCGGAAAAAAGCAGCTACAGAGTAATTNTTCGTGATACAAAGACTCCAGGAAGCAGGCGTCATGTCGAAAAAAGGGCGCAGAAAATCCAACAGCAGGAACTGAAACAACTCAATACATTGACGTAGCCATAAATATGAAGTCGGTATGCCGTTGGAAAGACGCAACCCGCTCTACGCGCCCTGGCCGTCAACGCGAAGTACGCATGCATGCACATGGCACACCGCTAAAAATGGGCCATCATCATACCTGCGTTCGTTCCATGGCTGATCTCTGAAAATAAGTCTCTGTCGGATCGTAAGTTGTGAGGGGGTGTGGGGGAAGTTGAACGAGTGCACACTGTTTCAGATGTGTAGAGCGCATGAACTCTTCTTGTCACACACGGAAGTAAGTCGAAGCGTGACATGTTTTTTCGGAACCAAGTAGACCAGGCGTTTCACGCTGCTGGCGAGTCACCACCCTGCCCGATGTACAAGATGAAATTGCGGAGCCCCTGTGAGCACCTAAATATAGAACAGCAGTGCTAAGAACAGCAGTGTCTCAGCCTACGGAGAGTCGTTTACGATGCCGGAGTCTGATAAACACGCAACTGTCGAAGATGACGGCAACCAATATATGTGAGTTCCAAAATGGGCGTGGTTCCTGGGTTTGAAGTTTCAATTGGGCCGTATCGATGGTTCCGCCGCATCTGCTTGTGAGGCACGTCGTGTTAGAGTGTAGAGTGTAGAGTCGTGTGGAGCACCCCTCGCGTGGGTTGTCCAGGAGAAGAAGGTGTGGTAGTGTGTGCGGGGAGGTCCAAGCTTACGTGTTGGGCGAGGGCATCATTTGGCTGTGCGACTAGGCGCACCAGCAGCACACACGCATCGTACGTCACGCGTCAAATGTCTTGAAAATATACCGAAATTCGTGAGCGAGATGCGCGTTACAGGAGTTTGTACAGGAGTTGATTCGGAAAAAAGCAGCTACAGAGTAATTAACCGTATATGACACAAGATAACACACCCCCTTGACCAATTTTCGAAGCTTGATTTCTCAACTGCAGGAACAGTCACAGCGCCGAAAATGGCGGCGTTGAAACCATCTCGTCGAGAGCTTTTCGAAAATGTATCTTTTCGTTTATGCATCCTCTTCGTGGAGTAATCGAGCTTTGAAAATCGGTCCGGGGGGGTGTGTTATATTGTGTCATATACGGTATGAGCTTTGACCTTGCTCAGTCAGCGCTGACTAGTCCGAAATTGTAATTTTATTGAATAGACCTCTGCTAACGAAACATATCTGGGTGACCACTGCAGCGGTGACAGCAATGGGGACAGGTTGTCGTTCTGGAGTCGAAGCCGGAGAGAGAGGGAGATTGTGTCGGAGGACACCGGAGGGGGGAGAGGGGAGCCCACATTGGGAATCTCGCAGTTGTGAACCCTGGGTGAACGAGTCCGGCATTTTGAACATGTAGTTCACCGAGACGTAGACCTCCCCCCAGCCGTGTGTATTTCTCTAGTTGGCAAGTGGTCGCGAATACCGACTGACCAACGAAGGTTTTATGTGAGGCCATTTGGCGTGTCGTGGGCGATCGAGCAAGTTGGGAAATTACGACACTAGAATGTCGGCATGCCACAGCGGCAGCAGAGGCAAACAATTAAAGGCTTCTACTCACGTGTGTACGAGAACAAACTAACAGGGCAAGCGTTCGTTTCTTAACCCTGACTGGGTAATTTGTTTGTTTTTTTGCCTCCTTCAAACGTGGTTTCCTTGGAGAACAAAAGCTCCAAAATCTTACACGTGTGTGCACACAATCGCGAAGGTTACTTTACCCTTTTGGGTCTACAGGCGTCCTGACTGATAATTGATTGATCACTTGCAAACGATGGTGTTGTGGCATGCCATGGAGTTTTTGCCCTTTTTCCCTCCACGCCAGGTGTTGGCAAGTCAATAGGTACGTGTGTCTTTATTATTCGCATCGACCGCGCTACCCGGTGACCAATACAAAGACGTCAAGGCAGTGCCAGTGGGTAATATCAGGTCCCTGAAACGACCAAAATTCGAAAAATGCACACTGCTGTAAATGAAAATGCCACCATGAATCTCTCGCCACATCCTTGCACAGAGGCACATATCAATAGCTCCACGCACATGCCCTCGCCCGAATCTAGAAAGCCGCTCAAGGAAAAACAGGATTACAGCGACAAGGGGCACGTCAAGCCCAACCAGGCCAGAATGTGATCGTGGTATGCTGCATATCCTCCAAATCGTACACGCCCAAGATCCAGCAGTCATGGTGTCAGCAGCTTTACTATACAGCAGCAGCAGTAATCTCAAGTCCAACATACAGTAGTAGTAACACATACACTATCATCATAGCCCTACACAAACCCTCGCCCGAACCTAGAGAGTCACTGATGCAAAGGTAGGTGTGTGTTGTGGTGTGCCTGCGTGCTTGTGGGAATTGTGGGGAAATCACAGGAGCTGTAGTGAGGCGGCAGGGCTCACGTTGGGGAGGGGACAGAGAAGTACAGAAGTACAAGAACCAGCTGTGGGTCTACAAGCCCACTCACTAATCATTTTCGCTGATCATTTGAATATACTGAAAATAGAGTAGTTTAGGCTGCTTGACGACTGATATTTTCGAGGTCTTTAAGCCTGACCTGCCCTACCGGCCGCACCGCTACCACGCATCAGCCCTTCTTTGATCCTGTATGTGCCCCCCATCCTGTCGCGGGCAGCCCTCATGGCCTATGGGTGGAGATAGCTGTTCCGTCAACAGAAGTACACACGACTCTTTCTGCTGTACTTCTGTCTCTCTCTCCCGCATTCTCTCGTCCTCCCTATTTTTTTTTTGCTGCAAAAAAAAAAAGAGCTAGATCCAAAGGGGTTAAACTATACACACACGGCGGCATGGATGGTACAGCAGTGAGGATAAGCTCGCACGTTGTGCGGGGCTCACAGGGATGGGGGGACGGGTATATGTAAGGGTGACAACGCCGGGTGATGGGTAGCATGTATGAGAGATGAATTTGCGTCAGTAACATGCATTCCTTTCTGTCAGCAACGACCCACACAGGGAATAATCTGTGCAAGCAATACCTGCTGGCTGAAGGATCTTTTGGCAGTTCATTGGTTCTAGCAAGGCCATCTGCCCCACCGTCTGAGGGATTAGGCATGTTAAATAGTGCTGTGTGTAGTGCAACGCTGTGCACCTTTCTATCTTACGTGTTTTTTCGTGTTGGGGCTGCCTCTTGATCTCTCTCCCTGCCTCTCAGTATGTTTTGTTCACTTAGGCGAGGCACACCCGCGATCTTTCGGCACACAACGCAATCGAAACTGCAAACGAAACTGACTCCTTGGTGTGGTCACATGAGGGTTAGCAGGACGCTCAGACTGCCAGGTCTTGCGTCTTTTTTTTTTATGTTGAGTTTGTTGTGCACGCGCGCAAGGACCACTTCCCTTGCGTGGCATCCGTAGCACATGCTGTGGCCATGTCCTCTGACGGTGATCTTCCGTCCTGTCACGCGAAACTCACGGTTGTCATTTGTGTGGCAGGTCTTGTAAGGGGATCCTCGCGTACGCCGGGCAGCAGAGGGCGGTGGGCCAAGAGCCACAGTGTCTAGGCTTCAAGACGGCCTTGCCGCCGAACATCATAATCACAGAGGAAGATGTCGGTGAGTGGCTGATTTCTCGGTGTCGTTCGGGACGGTGGGGCGCTGATTGGTGTGCAGATCAAGGCCCGTTCGATCTTGGTAAAAAGTCCGTTTTAGACGGGGCATCGGCACGTCCAAATGCGGATATCGTCATAGCAAGTAGCCTTAAAATCTCTTGGGTTGGGCTGAACACAGTCCTTCAGAGATGGAGAGAAGGCTTGATTCAGCAAGACCTGAATATAAGGCTCCTTCGATAGCGGTTGGCGCTACACTCCCACATGCCTTTTGTTTGTTTTCATGAATCCCACCTTCCCCGAAGTGCGTAGTAACCTGGCGTCATGCCCTGCTGTTAACCCCATCTATATAACATCGTTAATGTTGTTCTTGGACGGGAATTTTCGGTTCCCGCCACCGATGTATGGAGCCGTTGTCACCGGGGCGCTGCTTGCACTGAGCATGGCAAGGCCCGCAAAGAGACTAGTCCTTCTCGTCTTGAGGGAAATAATGTAGTCATTTCGGGGGTCTATCTACCCCCGTGCATGTTAATTCACCGTGTGTTGAGTATTGGGTGACATGCGCGCTTGGTTCGGCGGGCACCCTTCTCAGAAGCGTGTATTCGGCGTAAGCGCATGTCAGTTACCGCAGAGCCTCGAAGTCCAGGGGGGGTAAATCGTCGTCATGAGGAGTCACAACTTTTGCGAGGTTCGACGTATGCGCAAGCATGCGCGATCTTGTGTCGACACGTAGATTTAACCCCAACACAACAAACGGGATGATCAACCCTGCAAGCTGCTGTCTGCCCTACCAGCTGCCGTTCGCCGTTGTTGGACACCCTGCGGAAAGCTTGTCCGAGCAAAACAAACGCGTACACATGTACCACGAGCTGCCGTAACGATGACCCCGCCTGAATCCCTACCGCAATGTGCCACGTGTGCAACTCTTTTCTAATGAACCTATCATACACTTACGGTGGCACACCACACCAGTACCGCCGCCTCCGGAGGACGCCAAGTTCTTCTTCATCGGGGTCGGCGTGTCGGTCTACAACAAAGAGATGCTCTCCAATAACCGGCTCCCACTCGTGAACGGCTTCAGCCAGCTGGTGGTCTCAAAGGAGGAAGAAAGGGACAAAACGGACGCGCTTCATAACGGCAGAATAGGCGAGTACGAAGCGGCTGCCGCCGCCCGCCACCACGGCCGCGGAAACCGTCAGCCGCAGCCGCACACTGCGGCCGAAGCCTCGGCGCAGGGTGGGCGGCAGGGTGCAGCCGTACCGACAACGTTGAGCCAGCGTAGCGGGGTTGCCGGGGACGGTGTAGAAGAGAGGTCTTCCTCCACCACCGGCCGCAAGCAGGTGGAGGCGTTGATGTCGTACGCGGTCGGGAGGATACGGAAGCAGGTGGAGATCACCATGCAGGTGACGGACGAGCTGAAGAAGCTCACGCCGGGGAAGCTTCGGGAGGCGACCGTGGTGCAAGCGAACAAGGTGCAGGAGATGCCCACGCTGTTGCTGGACACCTCGAAGAGGATGGTTGACTCGGGGACCAAGTTCGTGCGGAATTACCTCGAGGAGCAAGAGAGGAAGTGACGGGCGGTTCCCCTCTTCGATGTTTGGGTTTTCCGACAGCAGATGTGTGCGAGTTCGGAATTTTGGCGGGCACTCGCGGTACAGCAGGGTTGCTGCAGCAGTGTTGTTCGTCTGTTTCACGGTAATCGCACTTCGTACGTGTCGTGATGTGTCTGGTTGATTGTACATACATGTGCTTGAGCGACGTTTTCAGTAACATATTTCCGATAGGTGTAGACATAACCAACCCTCGTACGGAGGAATTTTATGTGCATTGAATTAATACCATCGACCGCACTATCCGGCTGACCAAGGACAAAACGCGGGTCGGGTTGCGTTACGTGTGTGTGTTGGCGCCCTCTTCGCCCCCTCCTCCCTGGACCATTTGCAAGGTGCCGACTTGTTGTGGTGGAGTGTTCTTTCAAGAAATGACAAACACATGACAAACGCGAGACGTGACTCGAGGGAGTGTGTTCTTTTGTTGCAGATACATGTTCAGGGATGCCGTCCGCAACCTTTCAGGGGAGGACACCCATGCCCTGGTGCGTAGTGCCTGGTGCTGGTACGTTACCCTTTGATTTTTTCTTTGGGCGGGTGTGGGAAGCGTCCTCCTTTATTTTTATTTTTGTACCATTTTGATCGGTTTCCGAGGGCTCTTTTCTCGAACGGTCGGTGCGATACCTGTTTTTTTCTTTCTATCATTTTGTTTTCTTTTTCTGAGTGGTTTGTACCCTACTTTTGTTTTGTTTCCCCGCGGCATCTCATGTGCCGGGTTTTGAGACCACGGGCTCCCCATTTTTGTGGACTATAGAGAGCTAATGTGAGAAACAACAACAACTTATAAGTGTGGTGTTGTTGGACCCCGTCTTGCACTACTCCGCCACATCAACGGCAAGAAAACCCGGGGATGAATCCTAGCGAGTACGCGGTTTGCCGCAGCAAACGTTGTGCCCAGCCAATAGGGATAAGCGATTCGATGCGGGTAAGATGTAGATTATGTCGGCGAGCTTACAGCACTGCCGACCAAATCTTGTGGCGATAAACGAAGGAAGGCACAGCACTCCCACAGAGAAAAAATAGCAACACATATCGACTTCTGTATGGTCTTTCCTCCTGTCCGACCCCGACTGATAGTCCAGAAAATGTCCAGCATTACACAGGAGTTCCAAAACTGATGATTGTTTTCGGACAGCCCTCGGATATCAACATATCAACTCGGTCAACAGCAGTTTGAAAGTTCTGAGAAAGCACGAATTCATTATTTTGTACGAGATGGCGGCAGAGCGTTTGGATGATCGTTTGTAGCGCGCCGCCCTACAAGACGATAGCCTACGTATCTGCACTTGTTCGGTTTGTTCTTGAAAGAGAGTAGGGTTGAGTTACAGGGATACACTTTTCGCTTCTGTCAGCTCTCAACCACCACTGTGTTCGTCGGAGATCTCGGAGATTTATTTCTGCTGTCGGGGGGAAGACGGAAAACCCTTCGCTGATTGGCCAAGTAGTTCAACTACATATCACCAGCCGCACAGTCTAGCCGTCTAGCCTACGTGTTGTTTGCCATGTACACACCAACTTCCCCCGGTACGCGCCTGCCACCTCTTGCCTGTCACGCCAGCCGGCACTTGGAGTGGGGCTGTGTGCCTGCTGTACCAGAGAACAAGTATGCGTCTGCGGATCGCCTTGCTCGCGCTTTCACAGGCCCAGTCCGCGCTGCCATTTGTACATCCACAAGCCTTTCATATCGGGGATGCCAGAGCACCCCCCAGTCGTTCCAATCCCAGCGTCCGGATGGTGGCTTCCGTGCCGACGTCGACAGGGACCACGCATGAAGTAAACGGTGACGCTGGTAAGCGTGATAGACAAGCAACCAGCCCGGGCGCTCTTGTGATGGACCAGCCGGAAGGGGAGGCACTACGAACGGTCGAGATGTATGACACGACGTTGCGGGATGGGACTCAGATGGAGGGCATCTCGGCTAGCGTAGTCGACAAGCTCAAGATCGCGCTCCAACTCCACCACTTTGGTAAGATGTCTGCGTGTCGTCTGCGTATCCACTGGAAGCAATGATTGCTGCTGCTCACAGACCACCACCCTTGTGGGTACAAAGGTGTCTGCTGCTGCTTAATGTAGTCAGAACTGCAACAGCCAGATTTATTGGCGACACCAGCAGCAGAGGTACCTACCTTGCATAGTCTAGACGTCGGAACATGCAGTTGGCCGCTGCAGGAGGGCGAAGGTCCCTGAAAACATGCAGCATATGTCTCATTCCCTGACATCCCCACGCCGAATCACTTCACATTAGCTGCTTGACCGAAGATACTGACCTATGGTGTACTTCAACTGTAAGCGGCAACAGCAGAGGAACACTGTCGTGTGTTGCCTGTGAGTCTACTGGTGTAGTTGACCATGGCGTCTGCCAGTTCCTCTATCGGCACGTTGTACCAGGAAAAGCAAAGGTGAGGGTAGTGTCGGCATGAAGTCCCACATAAGACACCATGCAGGCGGAGTTATTTTGGCCAAATTCGGTGCTGTAAGGGTATTGGTACTAAGCAGATCACCGCCGCTTCTCCTACAGATCGCTCGCGTTCCCGCTCCGATGCACCGAAGCAAGTCCATTGCTGATCTAGAGCCACCACCTCAACGTGGAGCAGGATTGCGGTTGCTTGGTATTGGGTTCGCCAGCAAAATATACGGTGCCACTGCCGCCAACTGCGTATGTACAAGAGTGTTCCGTATCCCGAGTTTGTCCTTAACATTGTGTGCTTTGACGCTACCCAGGGTGAAACCTCGTCGGTGTCCGTTGATGGAAGTACCCGAAAACATCAAACATCCCGACGATGACACCAAGGGTGCAACCTTGTTCGTGAAAGGGTACGCGGGAACATCCGGACAATGGTTTGCTTCGGCCTACCGCCGAGCGGAGTTGTGTCTGGCTCGCAATGTGCCTCGTCGTAATGAGTTACGGCATTAGCGGCGGCGCGGAATGTCGCTTCATGACCAATCTCGCTGCTTCTTGTATCTATCGCTTCACAATATCTTCTTGGCAGGAATGCATTACATCGAAGGGGGCTGGCCCGGGTCTAACCCCAAGGACGTGGAGTTCTTCGAGAGGGCTAGGAAGGAGTTGCCGGCCGAAGCGTGGGCAAGGGTCGTCGCTTTCGGAAGGTGCGCTCGGCCCCTTCCCCCCACGCCGTCGGGGGCGAAAAAATGACCGTGTGTTATATCGTCACTCACAGGCTTCCCTTGGATGGATGGGACGAGCATCGATCACATGGCTTTGCTGGCGACGTCGAGGTTACCCATTTCTTGTTCCCTAGGCTATGTTGCTTGCGGCATTCGGGGTTCGGTATTGAAGCTTTTGGGTTGGCATTGGAACCTCCACGCACTACCTGTCGTGAGGTTGTGAAGCATGCGGTGCTACATACGCAGGGTCGCCCGCAATGCGTTTTAGTCTGTTGGAATCCACTGATGTAGGATGGTGGCAGCATAGGTGAACACAATTTCCACCCCAAGCTTGCTCCTCCCTTTTCCCCCAACACCAACATAACTCCCCCGCAAATCGCTCGCGCGTGCTCATCGCGTATCTGCGTGAACCTCGATCCCCAGCACCCGGCGCAAGTTCAAGACCTGTGCGGAAGACAAGCAGCTAGAATCGCTCATTTCGGCCGGCACTGGGTGCGTGACCATTGTCGCGAAGGCATGGGATCTACACGTGGACCATATCCTCGAGGTACAGCATTACGCCCTTGCTCTTGGGCTGGTACGCCTTTTTTTTGCTGCCCGAGAACACGCTCGCTGCGGTAGATTCCGCGTGAAGATGTTCCCGTTTCGCGTGATGTAGCTCCCGGGTTCGACCAAAACGGAGTCTATACGCTCATTCGTGCGTTCGTTAGTCATCTCCCGATATTCTTCGCGCCCCTTTTTTCGCTTTCGCCTCCTCCCCGGTGCTTCTTGCTGATTGCGTGCCCCCTACGGCGGTTTTGGTTACTTACGTAAACCAGGTTCCGCGAGCGGAGAACTTGGCCATGGTCCGCGAGAGCGTTGAGCACCTAAAAATGGCCGGGAAGGAGGTAATGCTGGACATGGAACACTTCTTCGACGGGTGGAAGGCTAACCGAGAGTACACCATGCAGGTACTGCTGTGTGTAGGTCTTCGTATGACACGGGTGCCTCGTCTCGTGCAGTAGTCTGCTGCCGTTGCACGGGTGCCATGCTCTTGCGTAGCACAAAGTTGCTTGCTTCGATTTGACGCGTTGTCGCCCCCTGTTCGTTTTGCCTAGAGATCTCTCTGCATTCTCACATAGCACATTGTTGTTGCTGGCTTCGATCGGACGAGTTGTTGCCCCCTGATTGTCTTGATCGGGCGAATCATCGTTCAGGTGTGCGCGGCGGCCGTCGGGGCGAAGGTGGACGTGCTCGTGCTTTGCGACACCAACGGAGGGTCTCTGCCGTGGGAGGTAGGTACTACTTGCCGCAGACACCACCTGGTGTTGCCGTTTTTTTTCTTCTTGTCGCATGCTATCCATTTTTTTACCGCAAGACCTATAGGTAGTCAAGTCTGCCGGCGCTTCAGGATTCCTTCTCAATTACCGGGCCTCATCACGCAACACATATTTGTCAACCCACGCGCACGCCGCTCGTGCGTGTTGCCAGGCTATTCTAGCAGCCTGGTACGTTGCAGTCGATAGCATTCGCTGAGTGTGCTACCCTCGGCGTATTTACTAAGCCCCGAGTTATCCCTTCGACATTTGTCGGCGAAGAGCAGACGAGGAACGATGCTTCCCCCCCCCCTCAACCCCGCGTACGTAACGCAGATTGACGAAATTGTAAGCGACGTCAAGGCTGCATACCCCGGTACTCGCCTGGGTATCCACTGCCACAACGACCAGGGGCTGGCCGTGGCGAACTCGCTTCAGGCTGTCAGGAGCGGGGCGGATGTTGTGCAGGTACGAATTTGTACAGGTTTGACAGCTTTTTCTTTTTTTGGTTCGTTGAGGTTCGCCGGGCTCTTCGAGTGAAGAGCACCTCAGCTGCTGAGCTTGAGAAACATCACTGGTGGCAGCTGGAAGTTGATTCACACCAACATTGCTGTCATCTCTTGCATCATGCCTTGACGACACTGCGCTACTCTGCTTTGATGAGTCCATTCCGGGGGCGCTCCTTGTAAGAAGAAACGAAGAGTCGAACACCGTCAAAGCATACCCTGGCCCCCCCCCCCGTGCGCAGCAGAACGCCTCTTTCGTTGCGGCGAAGGATAACCGAGTTTTTGAGAAAGCCGATAATAGGTAACCGACGAAGGAGAACAGGTTTCAAGAATGCCGTGACTCATGTCTATTCGTGGCCGTCATGCCCACGTCTACGAATCTCCAAGTCCGCTGATGCTCGGGTGCATGTGTTCGTCACGCCGACATTTCGCAGGGCACCGTGAACGGGATAGGAGAGCGGACGGGGAACGCGAACTTGATGACCATCATCCCTACCCTTCAGCTGAAGATGGGTATGACGGGTGTAGGTGAACACTTGACCAACCTCACCGCACTGAGCAGATTCACCGACGAACAGGCGAGACACATATATCTCCTTGCCGTAAAACGCACCGTTGTTTTTTTTTTGCTTGGTTCGTCAGCGCTCGATCGGTAGAACCCACAATGTGCTGCCCACAGGTTAAGAGTGCTGTGTGCCCCTGGCTGGTACTATGGGCGGCAACGCAATCCATCCTGTTGTATTGGAGCGCAAGCGTTCGTATACCGACATGACGTCGCATGATCATGATTTTTTTCGTTCCTTGAAATGCAATCACGCCGGTTCTCCACCCTTTTTGCTTGTTGACCGTACTCTTTAGCTGGTCGACCGCGTTTTGCGCACCACACACGTCCGAATTGCAACCGCTGCAACAAATTCTGACACGCGCCGCGTTGCTCTCCACTCGCTGCCGTTCTCGGCCAACTCCAGTTTAACATGGCCCATACATCAGGGGCTCCATATACCGGCATGAGTGCGTTTGCCCACAAGGGCGGGATACACGTCAGCGCCGTAAACAAGATCCCTGACTCGTACCAGCACATCGACCCCGCCCAAGTCGGAAACAAGAAAAGGTGAACACTCTGGTGCGCTGCCACGCGAGTCAATCTTCCAAGGTATTGCTTCGCCTTTGTACGCCGTGCTCTGCGAGAGTGGACGACCTTGCGGAAATTTCTTCGGCACTGCTGTCACACCCCTTTCCCCCAACTATCCCGACCGACGCTTACCGCTACACCCAGGGTGCTTGTCTCGGAGTTGTCAGGGCAGAGCAACATCCTGTCGAAAGTTGAGGATTCGGGAATGGCTAGCAAGACCGAACTCAAGGCCTCGAAAGTCTGGAGGGAACGCATGGGACAGGTGTGACTCACTTTTGTTTCTTTTCCTGTCCGAATAAGTCGAACTCTAAGAATGTGAAGCCTTTGAAACAAGGGAACACCACAGCAGCGGACGTGCCACGCTCATGTTAAGACACACGCCGACCGTGGATACAACTATGTTGGTTCCGGCGACACCCACCGCCGGGCACGCATCCCGACTTCCTGTCTCCCTTTCGGTTGCAAAGGTGCTGAAAACGGTCAAGCGCTTGGAGACGGAGGGGTACAGCTACGAGGGCGCGGACGCCTCCGTGAACCTTCTCGTCCGAAGAACGATGAGCGGCTACGTCCCTCCATTCAAGTGAGAGGGCTAGATTCACAGCCGCACTTCACAGCAGTGCTGTAAGAGTGCTTCACAGTTAGCCCTGCGCCTGACCCTGTTTTTGGGCCCAAATTATGTCACACGGAGAATCTTTCGAACAGCCCATTCTTCTGAAGTTTGTTTTTCGTGGCCAATCAATCCCCGCATTGTTGGCGGCCACGTCAGTTCAACAAGCGAAAAGACTGCACAATCCGCGGTGGTGGGTCTTTTTTTTTTTTTTGAGTTGATGACGAAATAGGATTGCTGTAGCCGCCCCCGTTCCCACCCGGCTGTGGGGCCGCAGAGACATTGCGTAGAGAACAGGACATTCACCGCTACTCATGCCGCAGGAACGGTCGCAAAAGCTGCAGTAGCGCTGGCGGTAGAGCCATTGCGCGCTGGCACAAATTTCAGACATGTGCGGATGGCGGAAAAAGATACACCCGATCAGCGAGAGCAGGTAGGTCTGATTGTACAATACAGCAAAGGGAACTGAAGCCGCCGCCGCCCTTCCCGCCCTCCAAGGGGTTGAAGATACACTGCGAGGAAAGCAGGGAAGCCACTGCTACTCATGGCGCAGCAACGGCAGGAAGAGCTGCAGTGTAGCGCGGGTGGTGGAGTCAAGCAATGCCGCCCAAAAGTCAGTTGAATGACGCGTCACACACACGCACACAACGGAAGAGGCAGCGATCTCACCCAAAATCACTTCACACCCAAACGGGTTTGCAACGACCAAGCCCGTCACTGCCCGTCTATGGGGCTGGCTCAACAGGCATTTCACGAAAAGCAAGAAAACCACTGCTACTCGTGGTGCAGGAACAGTAGCAATAGCTGCAGCAGCGCCGGTGGCAGGGCCGTTGCGCCAGTGCAAACTTTGGAGATGATGAGCGGAAAAACAAAAACCGACCAGAATGAAGAGCAGGTGATCTGGTTTTTACACTAGAGTACAAAAAGGAACTGAGGCCGCCGCTGCGCTTCCCGCCCCTCACAAGGCGTTGAAGAGGCACCGCGAGGAAAGCAGGGAAACCACCTGCCAATGGCGCAGCAACGGCAGGAGGAGCTGCAGTGTAGCGCCGGTGGTGGATCAAGCAATGTCGCCAAAAAGTCAGTTCGTTTAAAAAATAAACGCACGAAAAAATCAATCCCACACAACAATTTGAGCTTCTTCCACCGTCGCGCGTGCTTCGCCCCCGTTCCCAAATCCCAGACAGACCACCCCCTCGCACCCTTCCCCCTAGCATTGCTCCCTCCAGAGCTCACTCCCTAGATGCTCGACCNGGCAGGAGGAGCTGCAGTGTAGCGCCGGTGGTGGATCAAGCAATGTCGCCAAAAAGTCAGTTCGTTTAAAAAATAAACGCACGAAAAAATCAATCCCACACAACAATTTGAGCTTCTTCCACCGTCGCGCGTGCTTCGCCCCCGTTCCCAAATCCCAGACAGACCACCCCCTCGCACCCTTCCCCCTAGCATTGCTCCCTCCAGAGCTCACTCCCTAGATGCTCGACCCGCAGACGGCAGTGGACCTCCGCGCGCCCTTGACCCGCCCGTCGACACAGAATCGGCTCAGCCGGTTGTGTGGTCACCCAGCACATTTTTTTTGCTTGACTGGCGGGGACTTTTGCTGGACTCTTGGACCCGTGCGTCACCCAAAAGCACCCCATCTTAGGATTCGTACTGAGAGACGTTGGCGGAGCGGATTCTGAAGCGGTTTCTTGTATCACCTCCGTTATAACTTTAGCTATGTTTTTGTCGGTGGCGATTTCCGCAAAAGCTCCATACCCTCGCGGGCGCTGTGAATTTGGCCAAAAAAATGATTGATTTTTGAGGGTTTGGGATATAACCCACCGATTGAAAACCTGACCGACAGAAACACTCATGTGTCCTGTTCACAGCTGTGTGCTGAACCGCAAGAGCTAGTTCGTTGGTGGCATGGAGCATTCCGCGTTCTCCTCTCGCTGTCTAATATCAAGTCAATACAAGATTTGGCGCCGTCGACCGGAAAAGCGGAAAAACCAAGTTTTTGTGATTTTTCATCGACAGCCTGACCACGCGCATACACCAAAAAGGGGGGTCAGGCGCAGGTCTAGCAGTAGTACTACAAGAGTGCTTCACAGCAGTGCTACACGATTGCTTCACAGCAGTGCTACAAGAGTGCTTCACAGTAGTTCTACAAGATCGCTTCGCAGCAGTGCTACAAGCACTGTATGCATTGCCGCAAACAAGCAGCGCATTTTCCATTGGAGAATGGTTGTCTTCGATGTTCGTGAAATCTTTCTCAAACCCGTTCCATCGCTCCAGCGCGCACGCAGATACCATCATTTCGCTCCCCAGCGAATGGCAGTAAACACACCTCTTTCCCCGTGGTCGGTGCCGACTGAGCAGGTTGCTGGACTATCTCGTCCAAATCTGGGACAGCGACCGTACACCCGGGGGGCTAGAGTTTCCTTCCGGCCCTACAACCGCGAGAGCCACCGTAAAGGTCGGTCTCGTGGTACATGTCGCAGCTGCTTCCGTTGGACGTTGGCCGCACCAAACCCTGGTAGCGAATCTAGGGTTGGCGGTGTCGTCCATCGAGCAGATCGTACCGCCGGGCAACCTCCTCAGCCGCTTCAGCTGTTCACACTACTAAAGCACGTCCGCCGGCCCACTGGCGCCACCTTCCCGTTGCCCGATATTTTGCCGCACGATGTTATGATACCAGGTTCGGGTTCCTTCGATCGATTCCGAGGCTGAGTTGGGCATCGAGGGGGAAAACCCAGGAGTGCGTCTCGAGGTAGGGAGACGTCGCTGACACAGTCTTACAGGGCGCGGGCTGAATTTGCGGGGATTTTTTGTCTTTGTCTCACGCCGGAACCATGGTGTGGTACTCTGCTGTACAAGGGAATACCTCCTTCTCATTCCCCCTCTTTCGCCGCGAGGCGTCTTATTTTCACATTGCCCCGACACTTGTTTTGCGAGTACATCACGCAGGGAGCCTCGCGACGTTGCCTGTTCGCTGAAGGACGCCATCACCCCCGCGGTACAACATCTTATTTTGTTCCCTCCACAATAATCTCACCGATGCGATGATCTGCTGACGTTGTGTGCACATCAGGTGGCGGAAGGAAACGGACCGGTAGATGCTTTGGCCAAAGGTCTGTTTCGTGCTCTTCTGCCGACATTTCCTTCTCTTCAAAGCGTCAAGCTCAGCGACTACAAGGTGTGGGACGAGTCCATTGGCATATGGTCAATTGCTGACTCCGGTGCTTTCGCGAGCGCTGTGCCGGCTTTTGTGTTGTGAAGCTGATGAGCTGTTCTGGCGTAGAAACACCAGAATGCTTTTGGCAGCATCAGCAATGGTCATGCCACACGTTGCTGAGATGCCGCCGGTTGTCTCGACGTCTTGTTCGGCTCCTCAATATTGCAGGTGCGCATCTTGGATCAAGAGAGTGCCACACAGGCCAAAACTCGGGTGTTGATCGAGTTTTACGAAAAGGTACGATGGCTGCTACTGCTGTCAACGGTTCCGTACTTTCGGTGTATGTAGTTGCCGCACGACCGATACTGTTTCATGTACCGTAGACGACACAAGATAACACACCCACATGACGACCACACCCCCCACAGAATACGACACCCCAGTGATAGTTTTGGGCGTTTCTGACAAACCATCGATTTATCACCGGGGCTACATAAGATAGCACGGAGGTTACGCCGCAGGCTCCTCCGTCTATCACTGGGGTGATACAACATCTGCCGCTTGGGCATGTGGGTATCTCACACACACATCTGCGTAACTCTCTTTTGGTAGTACCCAATAGCAAGGTATGCATGAGCCTACTTTTTTGTGTGTGGGGGGAGGACGGATGGCGCACTCTATGGCCACCGAGTCATGTGCTCAGGAGTTTCGTCACCTCCGGTGAGCTCCTTTGTTTTACCACATTCCGCAGAACCGCAAGCCATGAAGTGTTCGTACAGGCATTGCTGTCGCACCCCCGCAATACCAACCAAGTGTGCGGCAGCAGCGGTTCAACTCTACAACAAGTGTTGTAGCACCTTTTCATTACACACCCTCATCATCACACCTCAAACATCCCTGTGCGTGTTCGGACGTGCTATCATCCCCCCTGGTTTATCACACCCCCTTCAGGGCCCAAGCGAGCTGCACTTTGTATCACCCGGGCTACATAAGATTCCACCCCCCCCACAGGATACCACACCCGGTGATCATTTTTTCAAAGCCCAAAATGATGTCACCGGGGTGTGTTATCTTGTCTCGTCTACGGTGTAAACCCGGTACCACAGTCGAGTAATCGCATTTCTTGCCCCCATGCTTGCCGGATACCGTACAGCGGTGCTGTGCACTACCGCCGTTTTGCTTTCCACATGGGCTTCGTGAAGCATCGTTAGTCATTGAGCGCCCGCCAAGCCCATTCCGACGAAATACCTCTCCTTACCCGTCGTGCTTCACGGTAGGGAGAACACGCGATGCATGTTCTTTCGTTCATTCGTGCCCCCTGCTGCTGCTCTTTGCCTTCTCTGTCTCTCAGTCATCGGACGTCGGATGGTCGACGGTTGGCGTAAACACGAACATCATTTCCGCGTCAATGTCTGCTCTGATGGATGGCTTCGAGTACGCCCTGGTTGAGTTTGGCCAAAGCTGCTCAATCGACGCCGGAACGCGAAGTTGACATGAAGGTTTCGCCGGCAGATCATTCCCATTCTCGCCTTATCTCCCCAAGTTTTGCTTCACGTGAAGTTTTGATCTGTCGCCATCTTTGCACCAACTTGAGGTTGTACTGGTCCCCAGCCAGAACCCAAGTTTGTTGCTCTTGTTCCCAAGTATTTATCGTTGAACCCAATTTTCGATTCCTGCTCCAACCCTTCGCCGGCGTTTGATGGTGCACGGATGTTTCGTTCCTTTCGAGTTACCGGGGTATGGGGTGGTGCTCTTGTTGCGCTTGAGGGAGTATTTCATCCACTTTTATTGTCGCGCCGTTCTCTACTGGAACGGCGGATCTTCACTCTGCAAGCGCAGGGGGCGGAAAATGCACGCTGCGACTGACTGCAGCGAAATACTTCCTGTCCCGGCTCGTGTAAAAATATGTCGACCATCGTCTCGCCATTCAGCTGAACACCGAGATCGTCAGTATCGTCCTATGTCAGCTTGCTTCTTTTTGTGTGGACACACAAGAGGGTGTTGCCATGGATTGAGCGCTGGTCGGCGCCGGTCCCCATTTGAATACAAGTCGGGGCGAGGTCCGAGTTGCCGAGCGCTGGCAGTTGCAATATAGCGGGGGCACGCTCTCGATAGAGCATATCCCCTGCGCTAGAAGAAGTTTCATGTATGCGTTAGGACTAAAAGGTGTGACATGAGGGTGTGATTTTCCGGGACTGCTCGTCTCCCGGTTAGCTTTTGTGATCATTGTATCGCGTTGTTTGAGGATTTTCTGGATCCGTTTCTTATTTCCGTTCTTTCATCTCTAGAGATGTGTGCCCTTTTTGGGTAGGTGGCCTGTGATTACCGAAGGCGTCACTTGGACCGCTACCGACGTCGTCAGCAGAGACCGGAACGGTTTTTTATGTGAAGACAACGACAACTTCATCACGGAACTTTTCGCAGCAGGAGCTAGACTCCCCCAAAAATACCCACCGGTTAAAGTTGTGGCCGTATTCGCAAGTCTGAGTGTTCTCATGTTTTTGAACTGGTTCAAAGCAAAGAAGAGTCGTGTGGCCGCGGAAACGGGACACTTGCCGAAGGACGGTGTTGTCAGATAGTCATCTCCTTTCTCTATCGACACACGCTCGAAAGAAAGAAATAATGGGACGGAATGCATCCGCGCGCAGTCTAGAATTCGACTACCACCTCGATCGAGGAGAATTGTCATAACGAGTAAACAAACATATCAGCGTGTGAAGTTCGGTTCACGCCTCAATAGGCCTGCGCTCAATAGTGTGCGACATCTATGCGTATCTGTGGACTAAGGGAGGTACCTAGTAATGCTTGCTATCATCTGCGCGCATGTTTCGAAATTGAATTTCAAATATCTTTATATCCGGCTATTACTGTGCGTCGCTGCCGACCATAAGATCACCAAAGACCGGCGTACCGACGAGTCCCGGTGCACACTTACTTCGTACAGGAATTGGCAGGACATTAAGTGTGGTCCTTCTCTCAGGAGGCTCGTTTGCTCCGAAGTCAACATGCCTCCTCCAAGAAACATCGTAGTTGCAGTTGATGCAACACCCTGCCCCAGCAAGCTGCATTTTTTTTTTCTCCCATCATTGGACTCTGTCATCTGCCCCTCTGGCCCCTATCCTCCACTTCTACTAGCTAGACGAGCCCACCGGGGTCACATGGGATGGGGGGGCTGGACCCCCTCCTGCGGTTCCTGCCTGAGGTATTTTTATCGCAAGAAGGGTACAGCAATCCCTTCCCTCGTGACGTACGAAGTCGAATATGGTTTACGAACATCGAGCTTTGCAGCGCGTCGCTTTCATCCTAGACCAGGATATATATTTAGCGAGAAAAAAACTCACTCTGCCGGGACTCGAACCCATAACCTGGCCCTTAGCAGGCTGCGAGGTTACCCACTAGACCACCGGGGCGACCGGTGGTCTAGTGGGTAACCTCGCAGCGTACTGTTGTGTCTCGCCGGATCGTGGGACAGTTGTTCGCAACCTAATAATAATGCATCGAAATGTATGTGTGCATGGCAGCAAAGTCGCCGAGATGTCGGTACCGTAGCAAGGACACGGATACCGTACTCACCGCCCTTCTGCTACGAGACTGATGTGCCGAAGACAGAGAGGTAGAGGGACAGAGACATAGCAGTATACACATCCAGCGTGCATGTTGTCATGCACGGTATGCTTTCGGCTGGAATTTTGAATTTTCCTCAAAGAACGTTCATTTCGCTGGCAGGGGGCGAAAATGACAGTCCCGCCGCCCTTTCGATCATCTCACCCACCAAACAGGACGAGAGCAGCAGCAGGACCACGGAAGGGCGGTACAAGTGCCACGAACAACCATTACCCGGCCGGTTTTGCTGCGATAATACCGTCATCGACTGCCCATCAGGTACGAGTATACCTTGTGTTCTTCCTTCTGTGTCAGCAGTAGTCTGTCGTCTAGTGCCAACTGTGGGCCTGGTCGATATATTTGGTATGCTGCAGCCCGGTTGCTCGACTCTCGACTCTCGACCGTCGTGTCTCTTCCCCCCCCCACGGCCCTACACTACTGGGCTGCTCGGCACTCCTACCTTAATATAAAGGCCGGCGTGCCACACCTGTTTGGTCGGCCCTCTCGTCATCTTCACAGCCAGCAGCAATTCACCGAGAGGTGTGTCGGGTTGTCTGGCTTTACAGCCCGCAACGCTCGCTTCTTTTTCCAACAATTTTCTCGATCCTAATGGAACATCATGGTAGGTGAGGGTACCGTATATGACACAAGATAACACACCCCCTTGACCGATTTTCGAAGCTCGGTTTCTCAACTGCAGGAACAGTCACAGCGCCGAAAATGGCGGCTTTGAAACCATCTCGTCGAGAGCTTTTCGAAAATGTATCATTTCGTTTATGCATCCTCTTCGTCGTGGAGTAATCGAGCATTGAAAATCGGTCTATGGGGTGTGTTATCTTGTGTCATACACGGTAGCCGGAGAGGATGTATATCTGGAAACATGATGCCTAAAGCTTTCTACGAAAGACATGTCGTAGCTCTCGATCCACTTGTAGTCCCCGTACTACATATGTTGGCGCAGTTGCCACGGGAAAGTCTGTCCAACGGGGGGGGGG